TTTTTGAACACTGGTTTTACTATTGAAATTTTTAGACGGTCTGGGAAAATGCCTGTGTATAATGAGTGATTACAAATGTGAGTTAAAGGGCAACTAATTAAATCAGAGCAAGCTTTCAGAATTTTGCTTGTTACTTCATCAAATCCTGATGAGTTCTTTGTTTTCATGGTGTGTATAATATTCTTTATCTCAGCTTCACTGGTTGGAATGATTTTAATACTAGGAAAATTTATGGGAAATGCATCTTTTAAAAATGAGAAAGCATTTTCACTTCCCATCTGATGTAAATTTAAGGTCTCAGCAACTGTTAGAAAAAATTTATTGAAGTCGTTGGCAACTATTTCTAGATCCTTTGCTTTCTCAGATTTTGCCAGAAGAGATGGCATCTGATCAGTTAAATGCATTTTTCCTGTCTCCCTTTTAATTATGTTCCATGTCATTTTTATTTTATTATCTGACTTAGCTATAAGTCTTCTATAATGCTGCTTTTTAGCTTCTTTTATAACATTTCTAAGAATTTTACAATACTTAACATAAAATACTCTTATATTTGGATTATTATTGTTCCTACTGTTGACATATAAAGTCCTCTTATGTTTACATGATATTTTTATCCCCTGTGTAATCCAGTCATTCTTTAGTTTGCGCACACTTTTATATTTAATTGGGAAACTGGCTTCAAAAATATTTAGAAAAGTAGACAGAAAAGAGTTGTACTTATCATTGGTGTCATTTTCTTTATAAACACATTCCCATGTTTCACTTTTTAGAAGGTGCTGAAATTGCATTATTGTTTCACTGTTTATTTTTCTTATTTTCTGTTTCTGATATATAGAGTTGCCTGCACCAGTAATGATGCTTTGAAATCAGAAAATCCAGATTCGCATCATTACTGACCATCATTCCAGTTCTTTCAACCTTACACGATCATTATTGTCTTTCCCATCAGGTAATGACATTATTACAGAACGTGTAAGGTCCGCTCAACAGAAACGAATACCAAGAATATTCTTGGGGAGATGAGGGAAGGGCGGCCGGCGCGTAAGGCTGACAATCTTACCGCCACATATGAGCCGTTTGTCTAGAAAATGTGGGAACCTCATCTTACAACCCTACGGGCTTCCACGGCCTGTTACTGTGATACCTTTACTTTTTTACTTTTACTTTAATGGCTTATAAATTCACACAAAACAATTCAAGGCACTTAAAAATATGTTAAAATCTGTAAAATTTACGATTAATGTGGCCACTTCTATATCTTGAATCGCTTTTTGTTTACCACGCCGAGTACACTGTAACTACGGCGCAGCATTCTTTACCGCATATCAAATAATTACACAGCAATTAATTTTTTAATCACACAATATTCCACAGATTACATGTAACCAATGTGCATTACCCACAACTGGCTTCATATTACCTATGAAACAGAAAATTACGACAGCAACTTACGATTCTTAAATGCTCCAACGGCTCGGCTTCAGAAGGTTCGAACTTCATATTTCAGACGCAGCAAAACACACAGATATCATCCTTTCATATGCTGTATTTTCCTGGTATTTCGGCACTGAACAATCCTTCGGTCCCAGTAGAATAAATATGAATCAGAAGCATAAACGTTACAACAAAACGAGGTACAACCGACAAAGAGAAAATGGCGGTAGCGTTCCTTACAAAGACGCTCAAACAGTTTGCCACTATCTGACCTTCAGAATCATTTCACTTCCCACAAAGTACATGATATTCGGTAGAGGTAAAACAAGTTTTCATGCCTTTGCAAAACCATTATAAATGTGTAAAATTAAATCGTAGCTGCATATTCTCAAACATTCCACCACCAATTAAATTCCGACCCAACTACAACCAAACTACACAAACTACGTTGGTCGGAAAACTCGAATATTGAACGCACACACGCGATCACACGTCCAATATTGCCGCCCTAAAACATAGTTCCATAATTCTTGCTGTAAATTGTACACTGTGTGGTGTGACAGAAATTTCAATTGTAAAAAAAGTAAAGTAAAGTAAAGTAATTTCTGTGCATAACTAATCAAGCATTACGCCATGAAGACGTATGGGGGAGTGGGTGTATAGATCCACATTTTCTTGACCTCAGCACTATTTAGAGGCGAGCGGTGGGCTTCACGCCCCGGCGGCTTAACCCCAGGGGAAAGAACCTCCAGTACCCTTTGAATGAGACGGTGTGGACTTCAGAGCCGGTCTAGACCGTCTGGACGACGTGTGGAAGAAAAAGTTCTTGACCCTACGCGGACTCAAACTCCGACCCTTCTGTCGTCCAGCCCGTAGCTAGTCAACATACCGACGGTGCTATCCCGGCTTTAATTTTTTAACGTAATTGTGTAGACAGAATACAACACATTATTAACATGTAGTTACAGTGCCAATGTAAAATATACACAAATATTCCTCCGCCTACAATTATGAACTCGTATTTGTCCTGAACGTCCTGAAGGTCCTGAGCGGTTACTGTCGAAACTCAGCTCATACATCATTGTCACTAATTTTATGGATGATAATTACACGTGTACAAAAATTCCTCACAATATAGTACTGGAAGAAAGATGCTAGGTATAAATTAAACTACATATTACCAAAACATAATCAGGAAAATAGATAACAAAATAATATTTCTACCTTAGCTTCGAGAGCTAGTTCATAAATGTGTCATTTTTCTATATCATTAAAATCTTTCGTGTTTTTGAAAACTTTGCGGCCCTAAAATTGACCCCCCTCGACCCAACACTTGATGACTATTTTGGTGAGATTACGTCACTTGTGCTGTCACGCTGCTTAGTTGGAGGTTCACGGATCATAGAATACTGTCATGCAGATCCGTGGAGGAATTGCTGGCTCCTAGTTTCCTCCTAAGGGCGAAATTACACCGAGGAAACTGGCAACCGCAATTTCCGAGAATTGTTATTTGGCCGAGTTGAGTACATTATACTGAACGGGGCAGCGCAATTTGAGGAAACTGGAACCCCACGCGCGCAAAGACTGTGAAACTCAACTTCCAGGCATCGGAGCATGCCAGTCCTCTCACAGTTGCGTTACCGCGTAGTTTCCAAGTGTCAACGGGTCTATATCGCGCGTCTGTGATTCATAAGTTTCGCAGCGTGCACTTGCTAATCTGGAAAACAGTTGCCTGCATGAAAACGGCGACATTTATCGAAAATTATGGTTGCTTTGCGGTTGTACGTCTCCTTGGAGTGTCCTCGCTCTCCGTTAGTAGGAAGAGGAACAACCTCCAATCTCGCAACCATAAACATAAACTTTATATTTGGTGGATTGGATCGATGGTTCACATATTCTTCTTCTTATGATCCGCGCTTTCCCCTAATCTGTATCACGTATCTTACATGTTTTCCGCCGTTAACTTTCTTTTGGCAAAAGATGTGGATGCCAAGCATGACAATATTATAGCCCACAATTCCCTATATGTACGTGATCTAGGGCAATTTCAGTAGCTTAGTCTCAGATCTGCAAGACTAAGATTCACGATTAGAAGAAGTATTATATTTAACCAAGTGGCAGAGTTTTATAAAATGAGTTCATCATTAACATTGTATTTTCATACTCCAAAGATTCGTTTTCTTCCTTTATTACTGGCCAAGCGCAGTTATTCAAAGAAAATAGAAGCCGGTAATTTAATTTGAATTATATGTTATGTAAGCTTTGCGTTTTGTTAGGTTTAGGAGCCAACATTACAAGTCACGCATTTCACGGAGGGATGAATGTTACACGTTTCGCGTTAATTTTTTCAGTTTTTCCAGCTTATTGCAGAATTACTATTATTTATAACAGGTGAAGTGTAAATATGGCTTCAAGGGCTAGTTTACAGCATGGAAACTTATTTGAAATATATTCAATTTCAGCTGGTGGCATTGCCTCTCTTGGCAAGAAGAAGAAGCTGTCAAAATTGGGGCCAGTGATGGAAAAGAGAATTGTTCCTGTAGAAACAGATGCACACAAACTCGTTAATTATGTGTGTGGCAGTAATCCTTTAAAGGGAGGAGAAGATATGAAACTTAAGGCTGATGATGAATACCCTGATTGGCTGTGGACATTACGAACAGGTGAGAGGTATTGGCTGTGGACATTACAAAGAGGTGAGAAGTAATTGCCTGGTTACATGCTGCGCAGAAAAATTTTCACATTACTGCCACATCCAGACTTTTACAGTATTGTGCATAGGCACAGGGATGTTACTTTTATTCCAAAGCCATTAAATTCATGAAGTGCTATTTTTAGTTTGTTTAGAAAATCATTCTATTACAGTCCCCTTCTTCCAGATATGAACATATCCTCCACAATATATGAAACTCGTTAGGTTTATTTTTAGAAGCCCTATCTGCCTTTCATGATCTGATTGTGTTGTATACAGTACTAATACTGAATATTGTGTAGTACTCCCACTTCATATTCAGGAGGCCACATGTTAAAATTTTGGTCCAGAGGCCATCTGTTATTATGCTTTTCATGGTTTTCAGCAGTCTGTCCAGGCAAGTGCTGCAGTAGTACCTCAGTTAGACCATGACCGATTTCTTTGGAACCCTATTAATTCATCTATCCTTGTACCATTGAACACTATGTAGTCCAGTTCATAAAACAAGTCACTTAGAGGTAGAGCTGCATTTCCCTATACCATTCCAGGGCATGCCACGTAATTAACCCTTTTCGGTCATAGCCTTATTAGAGATTTCCACAGCCAGGATGTCAGAGATTTTGAAATGCCACTAAGTGAACTGTTTTGCCCCAAAAGTTGGTGCAACAAGGGCATAAAGTGAGAAAGCATAACTTGTACTTACATTTTAATTGTCAAATTCTTGGACTAACTCAACACTGCCATAATATGTAAGTGAAAAGGTGGTAGTCTTCAAAACCAGACACACTGAGTCCTAGTCTGTCCATCAAGGAAAGAAGTATTCTCGAAATGAATGGTTTTTCAGAGTATGGCAAGTTACACATGTTGCCAGTAAGTTTTATGTAATTTGTAATTATACTGTGAACATAACCAGTGTCACTTTCAACTAATACAACTCCAATGCCCCACTTTTTTTTGGATTATGAGCATTGAAAATTATTTTGTGCTTGAAACCAACTGTTGATTGAGCTACTACAATGTTATTACCTGGCACAGGATTTTTCCTAAACTGTTTCTCTGTATGTTCTATCACCACATATATTTTCTTTGTTCTTTTGATGGCCGATTGTTTTCTTTGGTGGTGTCATTTCTGCACATGCATCATCCAGAATATCTGTAAAAAGTGATCTCTGGACATTGTCACCAAAAATTTATATGTGTTTTCCTCTTGCTAGACCAGTAGTCTTATGTCAGGTAATGTGATTAGGACCATATTTGTAATAGACCTAAAATTGTCTTCACTTCAGGACAGGCACATCAGGCCACCCACTCCAGAAGGACCAGCGGCTTAGCTGAAGTTCAGCAATTTTGTGTCTCGCATACCTGTTTGACTCTGTAACACTGTTACTAAAAAGCTCATCATTGAAAAATGAAATAAAATAATCCATGGGCTCTGCATATGGCAGAAGGTTAAATTGTGGCCCTGAATTTTTAATAAATGTATATGCCTTGGGTTTCTTGTTGCCCATTGTCACGCCTTCCCACCCATCAGTGTGCAACAACACTTGTATCCCTCACTCTCACTTTCCAACAGTTTGTTGCTCGATTCTTCACTAGCAGGTTCTCCTTCATTTTTCAATTTCATCTCATCATCAGAATCAATTTCAGGTTCTTCATTTAACATATCACTAATAGATTCGTCGTCTGCACCACACAAGGGATTACATATCAGCTTTTGCAATCTAGAGGGTCGAGGTTCAGTCAGATGTAAAAGCATGCTGGTAATAGATGACACGCCATATTATATAAATGGCAATTGGTCCTCAAGAAATTCAAATTATGACTTCCAGGTGGCAGAAGAAGGCAGACAAAACACTCATGAATGCATTGGCACAGAATACAGTGGCCAGTAATGATATATGATTGACATAAGACCGGAGAAACACTAAAGAATCTTTGTTGATCAGATATCGAAGCACTCTCACCATGTTGATTATATATCGACATACAACCAGAAAGGGTTAATTAAGCACAGGGACAACTTTGTCTTCATGTGGTAATCCTTGAACATTTAAAAAGAGGCAAATTATTAACATACGAGTATTCTGTATACCAATATGTGCCATATGGGACTGCAATTGAAGGTTCTACTTTCTACTTTCCAGGAAAGGCACCTTCACTAGAAGAGCTTGATCCAGACACAAAAGAGTACTGGAGAAAGGTCAGAAAAATGGGTATCAGAAGAAACAACCAGTTGTCAAAACTGAAGAAGTTCTGAGATATGTCTGTGTGGCTGTGAACAAACTGTTGATACCCTGAACATCTGTATTAGTGTTATTGTCCATATCTTTAGACCTACAACAGACATAAGACTTCCAAATAAAGTATATTTAAGTGGCTTGATTTTAAGTTGTACTTATATACTGAACTGATGAGACAGTGGAATTATTGGTATCCTTGGAGTTGTATGTTATCCTTCGGTTGTCAGTTTGCAAGAAAATATCTAAAACTTTATAAAGAATCAAGAAATGCAATTAAGGCATGTGACATGAAATCTAAAATTCTGACAGCAGTAACATAAATTATCTACTAGGATGTGACATTATGTAGTTGGTAAATATGTATGTAAGTTTCAGATGGACGTGCTACTCCTAGATTCACTCTCCTATCCTGAAGATGGAGGCAGGATGTTTCTTAAAAATTCCGGTAGATACCATATTACATGGTGTCACATCATAGAAGAAGGTGCATATGTATTATTATTCTGTATTATGGCAAGGCAGCTGTTTTAATAATGTATGAATGAGTGTCAAATAGAATCTATATGTTAACTCTTTAAGGAACAGTGGTTACTATAGGTACCACTGGGATAGCTCAATTGATATAGTGACTAGGCTATGTGCTGGATGACAGGATTCAGTTCCCAGCATAGGTAACAGATTTTTTGTCTTCTCCATAGTGTCCGGACTGGCTGTGGGGACCAGTGGATACTCAAGGGCTGTATCCCTTGGTAGTAAAGTGGCAGGGGCATGAAGCTGACCATTCACCTACATCTAGTGCCAAGGTTGAGAATGGTGGAGCTATAACTCCACTCCCGTACATGGCTTCATGGCATAGTGCTTAATTACATAATTTAAGGATAAATTTACCTTTACTTCACCACCTGCTTTGTCATTTGTAACCTATGCAGTTTGCACATGCATTATGTTTCATACAGTTTTCTGAATAAACAGTGAATGTTTTCTTAAACAGCATTAACTGGTCGGTCTTTGTAACGAAGATGCAGGGTGTTTCCTGTGAAGTTGGAACGTCTTTATGAATATTTAAAGAAAATAATCTGTATTTCATAGGATCACAGGGGGTTCTAAACTACCAATGGGTGCCTATTTCAAAGTCTATACTTTGATCCAGCCAAGAACCCAGAATATTCCAAGTAAAGGGCCCCATAGACGGCCCGTTTTACCCACGCAGTTCTAAGACGTCAGGTAAAATGGAGTGCTGAAGAGGGCACAGACATTCTGTTTTGTTCTCAGTCTTGTGCTGTTTTGGTGGATCGTGCACGGAGCAACATGTTGGAGGAACTTTTAATTTACACTGCTGTAGCGTTAACTTTGGGATCAGAAACTAAAAAGAAAAGGACTAAGTCAAAATGGGCAAAGGCTTGGTTATGAAATAACCTCTCACATATAAATTTACTGAAAGATTTAACTCTAGCACTGGGTGATTGGTACAGTTATTTAAGGGTGGACAGTGAGATTTATTTACACCTTCATTTGGTAGCGCCACATATCAGAGAGAATGATAGTGCGATGCAATCCAAATTGCTGACACTGGGAAGTTCTTGAGCTGTTAAAAAGGAAGGACATCATAGTACCATAAACTTGGCGCATAATTACCACCTGTTCCATTGCCAGACTTCTGAGAATCCTTGACTTCCTTGAGTTCTTTCCAAAAATAACTTCATAGTGAATTCATTTTTTGCCACTGCTTCCTTTGTTGCTTCAGGATCAATTTCCAATAACTTAACTCGTAACTATTCATAAGCAAAATTTTTTCATCAGAGTACTCTTTACTTTGATCTTCCACAAACACGGATTACTACGATACAGCTGAATGAATTCGCTCAGAAATGCCTGGGGTATGATCCTCAAGTCTGACATATCGAAGTGCACAGTTGGAACAATTAGTTAAAACTGACGCTAAAACTGTAGGCCCCACACACGCTCCAACTTGCTCGCAAACATGCCTGTACATGCATAGAAAAATCTGTCACTGACAGATTTACTTAAAGCCAAGCCTAGGACAGTACAGGGACGAAAATTCTACCACAGACAGGCCGTCTTAGAACTGCGCAGGCAAAACGGACGCTAAGATAGACCATCTATGGGGCCCTTAAACCATATTTGATTGCTTGCATTGCTACAGCCAGCAACTTCTTTGTAAAGGAACTTGAATTTGAGTTATTACCTGAAGAATGCAGTGTCTTTGAAAACCTGATGGCTATCTATCTGGTCACAAAATTTTCTGATTTTTATGGAAGCAACTTTAATTGCCACATTCACAAGAGAGCTCGTGTCCCAAGTCAGATGAATCTGAGTCTACACCCTCACATCCTTTTCCTTTAAGATCCACTTTAATATCATCTTTCCATCTACACCTCAGCCTCCCAAGTGGTCTGTTCCCTTGCATGCATTTCTTATCCCATCTGTACCACATACACACTTCTTGATTTTATTACCCTAGTAATGTTTACTGAAATTCCTCATTATCCAGTTTTCTCCCACCTCTAATTGCTTCCTCCCGCTTAGGTCCAGATATTCCCCTCAGCACCCTATTCTCAGATATTTTGAATCTGTGTTGTTCTTTTCCTTGAACTTCTTGAAACAAACTACACGTTCATTTAACTTTTACCTTATTTCAGTGTAGGTCTTGTTTAATGTATTAACTTTAAGTGTTTCAGGTTATGTGATTGAAATAAGAAATCAGTTTACAGCATTTTGTATTTTCTTCATCTTGGTTAATTTAACAGCGGTTTCAGTAGCTCATACAATGTCAAAAGATGGAATGATTAGTAAACAGTCAATTAGAAGGGATATGGAAGATATTGGTCATGGTCTGATTTGTAGTACTATCCTGGCATTTGCCTGGAAGGACTAAGCAGTCATAATATCCAGTTTTCTTCAGATTCCAAAGCATGATTACTATCTTGACAGTGATATCTCATTAGCATTCCATAAACTCAAAAGAACAGTTCCATCCATAACACAGGGAACGCTTATCCATGCGGGTAAAAGGTTTCACATATAACAAAGAAATTAACTGCAGAGAAAATGAGATTTTATGTAATGTAAACATAGGTCACATAATGTACATTCACTCTATACATTGGCACTGAATACTCTGTTCACTGCTTGCTTGGATTGTTCTTTGACCCTTAATATGGAGGCCATATGTTTCTGTGAAACATCAGTTAACTCCTACTGGACTGCATGGCAGCATATCTCAGAAAATATTACAATTCCAGGAGGAGTCCCTTTTGTTTGTGATGGCACAACAACCCAGCTTGCCTTCATCCCCACATAACATAAGCAGCCATGTGCCATTCAATTTCATGTCTGGTACACTATAGAGGTTTTCACCTGGAAGTAAAGAGGGAAGAAAAATAGCTCAGCTGATATTGAAAGCCAAGTCCTTTTCAATACCATATTTATCCAAATGGAAGATAATTCCCTTACTCAAGATAAAGGGGTTAAATTTATCTATGTGCCTAATTAAGCATCATACGATGAAGGCATACAGGGGAATGGAGGTATAGCTCCTTCATTCTTGACCTTGGCACTAGATGGAGGTGAGTTGTGAGCTTCATGTCCCACTTCATTTATCACTGGGGAAAGTGCTCCCCCATATCCACTGGCTAGGAGGCTGGGTGGACCTCAGAGCTGGTATGGACATGTGGAGTAGAGAAAAATTTCTCACACCTTTCAACTGAAGATGAAACAATTCCGTTTTTTTTTTTATGAATTTTCACATCTCTGCATAGAGTCAAATAAAACTGCCATCCATCCATATGCATGAAACCACTTCAGAACAGTGTCTTTTTTACAGTTTAGTGACTATGCTGCAGGCTGGATAACTAAGAAATTAAGGTTCATTTCACAGGGGGGGAAACAAGGTTTTTCTTGAAGAAAGCAGTCTTCTGGGATTTGGCACTGTGTATATGTGGTGTTAACCGACGTTTCGGAGGAACGTATCGCCTCCATCTTCAGGGTAGAAGAAAAAATATAAGAAATCTGCAGGCGAAGAGACCGTGAGGACCAGTAAAAGCAGACTGGTGTTGGAAATATACACAGCTATGTGAGAGCAGAGAAGGAAGGGGGGAAGGGCAAGTATACAAGTGAAAACNAAGGTTTTTCTTCTTCATTGTATCTAGACCAGCTCTGGGCCCCACCCAGCCTCTGTATAGTGGGTGAAGTGGACAGCGAATGAAGTTAACCATCTATATCCACCTAGACTCAAAGATTAAGAATGCATGGAGCTAAACTTCCACTCCTGGTGCTTAATTCAGCACAGCAAAAACTTTATTGTTAACTCATTAACACAGGATCTTCAGTAAAAAAGAATGCAACAGTTCTTTAAATACATATATTTTTTCATAATCCTACAACGTTTACCTGATGTTAACAAAGTGTTCTGTATGACTATTCCTTTTTCTGTTCCTCAGATTTAGCTGCTTCCATTGCAGCCCTGCGACTCCTCCACCCATACATGTAGGATCTTGGGTGAATAGGAAAGAAACCACAAAGGCCTGCATCAAAGCAGAATAAAAATATGTTAGATCTGAGGCTCCCAAAATGAACTTAGTATTATCTTCTGGATGTAACACAGTATAGTCTGGTAGACGTTCACCAGCACTGTGGGGGAATGTACTGTATCTCTGAAGAGTAAGCCAATCAGGAAACAAGAAGTGTCACTTCCCAGAAAAACTTTTCATCTATCATGGTGGTTCTAAAAATTTCTTCTGCAGTCACATTGAGGTTAAATTACTGGAAAACTTATAATGGAATTTAAATAGAACTTGACCTTTATCATTCAGGAAAAGGGATTTTAAATAAAAAATTTCAAGTGGCTAATCACATTATGTATAAATATGAGACACTAAATTTACTGGTGAAGCAGCCTACTTGATTCCATTTTATGCAGAGGCAAATGGAAGGTACAAAAAATTTTTACTCATGTGCTGCATATAATATTAGCTACAGGTTGTTTAAAAGTATGTTCACAAACATTTCTGCTTCTAAACTGCAAGCTGGTGAGAGAATACCTAATGTCTTCATCCCACTTTACCATATAAAATGTGCAATGTTTTGAACAAAAGAGAAAAATACTGCTACATTGATGTCACCTATATTTCCCCTTGATTTTCAATGTCACTTTTATAATAACTGAAATTTTTAAGAAACTATGGGCTATATACTGATGTGATATTTCCATTTCCAACGACACGTCCTTGTTTAGAACCCACACATGCAAAATAAAACATCCATATTGTGATAGGTGTGTACCAACATTATCGAGAAACCCATCTACCAGACAACACAGTGTCAAAAGCCAGAAGACAAAAATATGAACCTTCGCCATCGTTAAACCTCAGTTATTGTACAGAAAAGAAACCAGCTCATCCTTACACAGTGAGAAGTCTGACAGACATAAAAATGGAATGTAATGAGTTGTTACATATGTATTAGAGCTGAATGTGCAACAGAACAGTTTTACATATGAGAAGGGCATAACGTCTTCAGACTTCATGGTTTGTATTTCTTTTCATTTCTAAATCAGGTGGTAAACTGGTTTGCTGACTTCTCAAACAAAATGAGCCATCTGTTCATAATCACAAAAGAGATCTAAGCTTCAAGCTGCTTCCCTGTTGGCCACACATACACCAATCAAGAAAGGGACTTAAGTTCACTTGCGTTCCCTACTTGTCACATATCTACTAATCACAGTAAACACTAATCGCATGAATAAATACTGGCACCATGCCATCCTCAAGTATTATGTCCTGAAGATGGAGACAGACAAGTTGTCCAACATATAGGGAAAAACATTCCTTCACAATACAGTCAGCATCCAGAAGCAGAAGCAATATTTCTTATTCATTCATTTTATTTATTTTCCATAGATCCATACAGTATATAGCCAGGATGTGGAAATGGTCCTTAAAATACATATTAAAATAATCTTCAAAATATATTTACAAAATTGTATGAGTCCATTATTTGCAACAATAGGTTAACATCAATTTTGCAGGTTGCAGACAGGCAAGCTTATTACATCATAAAATCACATATAATAATAATAACAAATAAAATTCAATTAAAATAACAGTTAAATTACTTAACTATAAAAACATAGTCACAATTTCATATAATCACTTAAATTACCAATTAGGTGTCTTCCGGCATCACACATTTATAACCAGTTCTATGTTAAATGTTCATACAAGTCAGAGAGGTGTAACAGCCTCTTCAATACATGTTTAAAGTTGTACCATCAGCAGCCATCTTTGTTATGATTATCAATTAATAACAAATCTGGGTTATTAAAATTTGTAGATCACATTAGTAAGATTAAATAAAATATGAGCCATAATAATTTTAGACAGGACAGCTGCATATATAAATTGAAAATATATTACAAATAATTACTGAGCTAGCTCTGTTATAATTTACATATTATGACCAATTGTGCTGATAATATTCCTTAAACTCTATTACATGACTTCAGAGGTTCTCACAGCAGTGAATATGAATATTGCTGTCTTCTGGGATGTAATGCTATGTAGTCCTGCAGTTATTTTCTGAAGTTTCAAATGAACCTGCTGCCTTTGTCACCAAAAAGAAGGTTCCTCCAAAATAGCATCATCCCACAAGACAATAATTGTCAAAATTTATCTTGTTTGGAAATAACACTCAGGGCACCAAACAATAACATTTCAAGGGCCTTACCTAAGAGTTCTGCGACAGGATCTGATGTAAGAGCTCCCCTACCAAGCCAATACCTTATTCTCTCAAAATTCAAAGCGACCAGTCTTTCATTATGCTGGTTAGTAAGATGATCATATGTTCCAAGTTGTTCTATAACTTGACTGTGCTGTTCAAACCTTTTCTGTAAAGGAACAAGATGAAAATTATGTGACATCTGAGGTTCTCACAGCAGTGACTATCAAGATTAGAGTCTTTGTGATGTGATGCTATGTAGTTTGATAGACAGATACCAACATTCCAGAGGAACTTCTGCCTCTTCTCTTCTACTCTGAAGATGGAGGTAACAGGTTGTTCCAAAACAGTGGCACCCACTGACTACAGTGCAGTGTCACGTACTAGAAGACCATGATCTTTGAGATGAAAATTAAACTGCCAGTGTGTGAGATTAGAGCCTCTCAGTGATAAGTATGAAGACTGCTACTATGCAGTTCGGTGAATATGTGCCATTTTGTAAGATGTGTTATGTCTGTCTTCCAAGTAGAAGAGTAAATTGCCACTACATACTGCAGGAATGTATTTGAGCCACTTCACATGCTTATTTCATACATCTCAACACAAGCATAATGTAACATGAACCAAGTTATTTAACCAGTCAAGTGTTTTTTTCTGTGTTCTTATCTCTTCCACAGTGCCACATTTAATTCCCCCAGACATTTAAATTTGTCATTGCTGTGTTTGATTTTATAATTTTTGTTCCCTTTCTTAAATACAATATCTCAATTATGTGTTATAAAATTATGGAACAAAAAGCTTCTGAAAGACCAATTACCAGACTTCATTCACCGGTATTTTCATTTCTATAGCCATTATATTAAAGTTTATATTCTTTTTTGTAAAATTCTGCACTTTTGGCTTTATTCTCAAAAAATCTGCCACTATCGCCACTGTCTTTCATTTCTGTTCAGACTATGTGATCTCACACATGTCTCAGTCATGCACATTCAATATATGTTCTTGATCAACACCTGTTGTTTAGAAATGAAACATGATCATAATAGTCAACTGACAAATCTGTCTGACACTGTGTATGCCTCACTGATAAACAGAGTTTCTTATTGCCACATGGGCTTAAAAATTGTACTTCCTTTGCAAGCTCAAGGCTAGTATGGAAGAATGAACTGTTCTTCCAAACATCACTCAAAATCCTTACCTTTAACAGACTATGAAATTATCACTAAAACGTTTATATCACAGGAAACACTACTGCAGCTAAAGTGGCATATATTGAGAATACTTTACAATTATGTAGTTTTCTATACCAGCCCAGCGATGGGTCTTAGATTTTAGATTAGGCATGGCTTCTAAAAATTTTTGGGCATACCAATTTGTTTCTCTGGCTATTACTTCCACAATATCTGGTGCACAAGAGAACTCAAAATATTCCAGGGGGTTACTGGGGTGTTCTAAATCAACAATTACAACAGGCTTGCCAGTAAATGGAAAAAATGATCAGTGAGCACCTGAATTTTCCCATACATCAGGTTGCATGGTAGTGCTGTTGCTCACATTTTCTGTGTCATGAGAGCTGACACTTTGTTCACCACCTAACAAAATTTTCACATTTATTTCACTATCACTACTATATTCACTCTCGGAAGTACCACTGTATTGTCTTGTAACGGTTCAGAAAACAACTCATCACCCACACACATCTTCTTGCTAGGACCTGCCATAATGTTTATTCAAAAGAATTCAAACCCAGGACAGCTATCAAGCAATCAACAATTTTCTGTCATACTCTGAGTAATCAGAACATCCTGCAAGCACAACATACAGTTTCTACTGCTGACTGGTGTTATATCTACAGTGAAGTAGTTGGAAACGTGTGTGATGTCTATAGACATCATGGCCACTGCTGTACACAGTACCATATGATGTCTGTGTACATCATAATCATTTGACTGGTAACCCAAAATTAACAAGTGTTAATTTTACAAACCCCAGTGGAAGCACAACATAAGACAAACTAATGCAACTACTATTCAAAACAGACAAATATAAAAGTATATCTATATACAACCATCTTCACTCATAAAATTATGGACGTCTGTAAACATTGCAACCACAAACAGGAGACATCACACAAACGAATTGGACACGTGTAATTATCATATTGAAAACTATAATGAAGCAGAGATCCCACTCTACTTGTGCATTTTACCACAATCCCATCTGCCTGATCAGAATGTACTCATACTATTTGCAGCCAAGGGCCTTTTATAAGAGACAGGGTTGCCTCCTGTCTGGTTTTTGAGACACAGTCTCTGAGACCTGTTTTTTATCTCCAGACTTTGGGTCAAGTTCCAAAGAATGCTCTAAACTATCAAAAGTTTTCAATGGCTCAACACTTACTACGGAGTCACATGTTACGCATGTTATAGTTAAGCACTGAAAGTAGTTAAAAATAGAAGATAACAGCAGAAAATGGACGCGCACACACAATTAGGTATCAGCCCCACATATAACTGCGATGCAGTTTCCTCAATTTGCGCTGCTCCATTCATTAACGTGTTCAACTCAGGCTGATAACAATTCTCAGAAATTGCGGTTATCAGTTTCCTTGGTGTGCCCTTACCCATACAGCTGTATGATTCTACTAACCGTAAACGTCCTACATAAAAAATAAATTGTATTAAAAAAAATTCGATATACCAAATCCTCACAATGTATGTTCCACGCACCAGCAACTTGAAAGACTATTTCCTAGGACCGTCACTTTATTTACACAACTTCCTAAACTTCAAATATGTTATTCATTTCGGTATTAGTATACACTGTACAGTCATTACAATTTCCGTCGCCCAAAAGCATGATCTTACTTACTTCCATTACAACTATATGAAAGAACGGTCTATTTGTGCATCCATGCCGTTGAAACCTTATAATTTTGGGGGTAAAACGCATGTAAGCACCGCCACCACTTGCCGGAAAAGGCATTTCGATTAAATGACAGATATTAAGTACACTATTCTAAACCCTCCTTCCTCCCAAAAACATTTGTAACGCAACAGGCCGCTACACACCATCACGGAAAATTCGTTGGCGTTTGTTCGGATTCAAACTTTGGCAAGGAGAAACTTTCTTCCGATGACATTGGCAACAGTGGCGATACCATGATTAGTGTATGGCCTGCAGATTAAAAATGGATAGAATTGCGCACAACTTGCGTTAGTGCTCTGCAGCATGAAATGGCCAAAGATACTATACAGAGCGTACAGATTACGTTCACAGAAGCCACAAAGCCGCTAGACTACTTCCTGCCATCTGTCGGCATCAGTTGCGGAGCGAGTACAAATTGTGTCACAACCAAAAGTTCAATCGGCAATACTAAATATACTGCCCTGACATCGCTCTCAAAACGCGGCAATTTAAAAAAATTATACCTCCCAGTCTCTTGTGTTGCAGGGGTACTTGGTGTCATAGCTCTTAGGCAACAATGTGAATACATCTTAAAATTGATTTTGTATTATGAATACAATACGTGCGATGGAACCGTGTCCAAGGCTACACCTGCAAACCATAGATCAACTTGAAATGTCATTGTTTGTGATTCTTACAAATAATGATGGCTCTGGTACCCATCTTACTTACTTATTCATGGAGCTGAGCCCGTTTGGAGGAGCCGCAAATTCAGCAGCTACTCCAGAATTTCCCAGCATTTTATGGAACCCGAACTAAGAACTCATAATCCACTACTGTAAGATAAAGTATTTCCTGTGCTTAACTAATTAGACACTATTCCATGAAGCGGTATGGGGGACTAGATGTATAGACCCACATTTTCTGACCTCAGCACCAGAGGTGAGTGGCCAGCTTCACGCCCCAGCCGCTGTAACCCCGGGAAATAGCCCCCGGTACCCACATTGAATAGGAGGCTGGGTGGGCCATCGGGCTGGTCTGGACGACACGGAGAAATGAAAATTCTTGCCCCTACCGGGACTTGAACTCCAACTCCTTCGTCGTTCAGCTCGTAGCCAGTGGCCATACCGACTTAGCTATCCAGGCTCTTAATACACTACTATACATAAGCAAAAAGGCTAATACAAACTTATGTGAATATGAATAATATACAACAGACGTTCCTAAAATGAAATAACATTAAGAACAGAATAACGGAACAATACAAAAGGTTAACCCAATTAAAAGTACCACTTCCAGTCTCACATCATTACTAGTTCAAAAACAACAGGCAATATTAATAACCTTGTGCAAACATTACAATTGACGCACGACAGAACCATACCTACACAAAACACAAAAAAGAACATACGAATTATATATCACAGAAGCAGGACGAGCAGGACCGGGCACGGCGGTTGGTCAAAGATCATCAGTATGATCAGTGTGGTCATAGCCGGTCATAGCCATGAACACGAGGCGAGAAGCTGTGCTGTCACGACCGGAGACAACCGTAAGGACCGATACCAACGGTGCCAGCATTGTGTGCATTAGTATTTTAGCATTTAGGAAGGTTAATTTGAGACTGAATACAGGAAGACTGAACTCATCTCAACTATTATTGCGTATGTAAAGCGAATTGATTCCAACCACAGCACACACTTTGCGCTTTTCTTTTACTGTTATCATGATCTGTGCATTCCAGTGATATTTTTGATCATTGCTTAAAAAAACTGTTTACTTCGCAACTTTGTGTCACGTTCTGAATTGCATCACTTAGTGAGGAACCGTAAAAGAAATCAGAAGAAGAACATATTGACGTAATGGTCACATGACTACAGAAGTATGGGGGGCGAGAACCGAAGGAGCAAAATGGCTGATGACGATCCGTGGAAATTATGTGAAGACGGTTATTTAAACATAGATACTGATTCTGAAACTATTATTTATCACCCTAATTTAAATATTATACTGGTCTCAACAAAATCGTCAGAAGTTCATGTAGTCGACGTGAATTCAGGTGTGATTTTACAGAAGAGTTCCTTATCAGGTATGTCACACGTTGACCGTAAAAGCAATCTTGCAGGTAATAGACTTTTGAGGCAATAATTTTATGTAAAGTGACAGTGTTGATGTTACATAAAAGTATTTTAGGGGTTTGTGGAAGTAATGAATATTATACTTTTAATGATAAATTTCACGCTTGCTTTATAGGAAGGTACAAACTTGTTCAGTCGTTATTTTTGTATCAAGGTGAATTGATTTTTGTTTTTAAAATGTTCAGTACTTTTACATTCAACCGTTTTATTTTGTTGTCACCAGAAATCTACAGAATATTCGAGTTCCTCTGTATAACTATGAACGAAGTTTTCGAAGTTTGCGGATGAAATAAGTTTGTGTCATAATACTCGGTACTCCTTTAATTGTGGCTTTTTTTAAAAAAAAAAGGTGGTTTTTAGTATAGAAGATGGTATGAATTCACACTTGTAGGAAATGCAACATACGTCAGTGGTTTTGAAATGATCTTGTGTCTTTCCATATTTTTCAGAAAAGTTTGTAAAAGCCTAAAGTTATTTTGTTGTATGGTAGGTTAAGAAACTTTTAAGTGTTTAAGTATTCCATTCAGAATTATGGGCTCACATATATTGATATTAGTGGACAGAATTGTTCAGTACTTTGTTCAGACTTCTAAAGCTCTCTCCTTGCCTTACATAATGACTGGTCAGTATGTTTTTAGGTAGAATGAAAAATTCTTTCTAAACATCAGAGTAGACACTTCGTTTGCTTGTATAAGATTTATGCCAATTTGCTAAGGTGTACAAAGATGTTTTGCATCATATGTATATTGGTCATTTTTAGTGGTGTAAAATATGTTATATACAATAGCAGCAGTATTTCTTAAGTACGCTGAAAGATTTTAGACTGAAGATAAATTTGTTTGGACTGCCAATAGTATAAAACAGTTTATTTTCAGTTCCATAGAATATTAATATTAGTTCTAGAGATCATAAAAGGTGCTTAATGAATTAAGTGCTAGACCATGAAGACATATGGGGGAATGGATGTATAGCTCCACCATTCTTGACTTTGGCACTAGAGATTGTACACCATTAAAAATACATCTAGTGAGCAGCACAATGTATTTCTGTATATTTCTGCATGGCTAGATGAGGCAGGGCAGGTAGTGTGGGTAAAATAAAGAAAGGTAAATCTATCCCTGTAACAGGCCATGAAGGCCCAAAGGGTTGTGAGACATTGAGGCTCCCACATCTTCTAGAAAATTGGCTCACAGTTGTCAATAAGGTTGTCAGCCTTGTGCACTGGCCGCCCTTAACCCCCAGGAAGATTCCTGGTACTCAGTTCTATTAGAGACTGAGTCGACCCTAGGGCCATAGTGCGGCTTGAAGGATTAGGTAAATTGGAAAAAAAAATCCAGTGACTTCATCACGAATTGAACCTCAACCTTCTGGCTTGTAGCATAGTGCCTCAACCAACTGTGCAACTGCGTACCCCCTAGGTAGTGTTGGCTGTGTTCAGAAATAACCACACCTCAGAGAGTAGTGTCCCTACATAGGCAAGCTGTATGGCCTTCTGTCTGGGTGGTAGTACCTAGTTAGGACCCTGACCAAGGTTGCAGGGAAGAGCATCAGTACTCCATGTTAGTAATGGCTGCAACCCATTTGGGATAAGTGCTCAGTGGTCATGAAGGCTGAAACTTATGTGGCAGAGTGAGTGGATGAGGCAGCCCTCTCAGTGCGATAGAATAGTTTGATGATATAACTTGATGTTAGCAGCCTTATCAGTTACCTTAACATGTAGGATGCTGATAATGTGTTCAGGGGAAATTATAGTACTCAAAAGACTAAAGATATTTATATTGCCTTCTGAAAGACTGGACATTGGATGTCCAAGAAAAAGATGTTTGTAACAGTTCTTTCAGTCTCTGACAGGTTATGACTCAGTCGATGAATCAGCAGAAGCAGAAGAAGGATAACAAAGGCTGATTTAAATTTATGTTGGTAAATAAAATAATGTGATCTCAGCTGTGAGACCATTGCTCGCATCACATTTCAGAGGACTGTATGGCCTCAGTTGTCACAGTTGAAAAGTAAGCAAAACAAGCAGGAAGCAACACTGTGTAGTCCTAAGATAAATTAATCCAGTCTCTATCTACACACACAATTAAACATGTGTGACATTTTTATGTTTTCGTGGTGAGGTTTCATTGTCCCCCCCCCAAATCCTAAGCTTAGAGGCTCACTCTGTTGGCTGTGTATGGCTGCTTCTTCAATATATTCCTGCGGCCGTATCCTTCGAGAGCTATCTCCTCCATCCACATCCTAAGGAAGTATCTTACCATGGAAGGCCGCGCCATAGCTCAAGTGGTTAGTTGCTGGCTTCCTACCGCAGCGGCTCCGGTTCGATCCTGGGTCTTTGTCAAGTGGGATTTGTGGTGGACAAAGTGGTGCTGGGGCGGGTTTTCTCTGAGTACTTCGGTTTCTACTTCCAATCTTCATTCCACCAAATTTGTCATCATCATAATCACCCAGGGCAGGCTACAATAGGCCATTCAGTGGCCACCCTGCCGAGTGAACCCAGTTGGACTCCACCCCCCACTAAGCAAATCTCACCATGGAGACATAAGAATAATTAGTGAGCCATATACTTTCTTACCACAGTCCTATCTGACCTGTTAGATACATTTTATCTGTCTCTGAACTAGGCTGTAAGGGTAAACTTTCCAAAGATACTTTTAGTCTTTCAAAGTCCATTGTTAAGTATTACCAGGCTCTATGAGGAATGGTGGACTGGTAAAAATTTATTTATAATTTTAATTCACAGAGATTGAGGTTAGGAATAAAAAAAGGTAGGGAGTTGTTGGAAAACTGGAAAGGAAAAGAACTTTTGGAAAACAATTCATAAATGGGAAGGTAAAATTAAAATTGAAAGAAATATGTTCAGTGGGTATGGACTGGAATATGTGGTTTAGGATTAGGGACCTCCCAGTTCCATAAAAATTGTATTTTTCATATTTGAGGGACTTGGCATATTGACGATTCTGTTACTTGGAGGTAGTTCAGTTTGTTAATAGAAAACAAAGGAATTTGTGCTGTGTTCTAGGTGTTATATTTTGATGTTAACTGAGAAATGTCTCTTTATGAATGAGGTATAGTGTTGCCAGATTTCTGATTTCAAAATATGTTGGCCACACATATGCAAGACATATGCAAGAAAGAAGGAAGAAAGATAAAAACAATTTACTTTGATTTGGAGAACTGAGGGTAAACTGTAACATATGAACCAGAGGAGAAAAAGACTACTAATATTAATTTTTAAAGTTTGCGTTTGTATGAGGCAACCAGAGCATGTGACATCTATTGATAAGCATATGAGAGGATTTGCAAATTTTTAAAATAGTTGCCTGTGTATGGGTGAAGTATATGGTGCTGCATACTTCTGTCATGAATGCATTCAGCCCTTAATGTTTCATNTACCAGAGCATGTGACATCTATTGATAAGCATATGAGAGGATTGCAAATTTTTAAAATAGTTGCCTGTGTATGGGTGAAGTATATGATGCTGCATACTTCTGTCATGAATGCATTCAGCCCTTAATGTTTCATTTTTTCGTATTTTAATGTACATGGTTTGTTAAGTTAACTGATAGATTTGGGAAATTTCTAGTGTTTCTCAGCAACAGAACTCAAAGAAACCCATGTTTATATAACAGAGCTAAGAATACAATCTCTTCTTCACCTGGAGTGAAGTACAGTGATATTCCCCACAGAACAAGGTGGCTAAAGCAGTGACAACTCTGGCTTGTATGTGGGAGGTGCCAGGTTCAAATATCTGGGGTACCAATTATCCTGAATGAATTGTTGCACCTCCCCCACCCTGGTTTTCCTAAATTCTTTCAAAGCAAATGCTGGGGTAATACCTACAGTTATACCATGGCCACTTCTTATGTCTTCTTTACAATTTAGTATCATTAGTCATTTGACCATGTATGAGGTTGTATCAAAAGTTTCTGGACTGTTATTGTTGTAAATGCCTCAGTGAAAGAAGATGAGAAGGGAGGTCAAGGTCACACTTCCACAAGCATCAGTCTGCCATATAACAATGTGCTGTGAAAATGCATTATTTTTACACTAGGGTTTTTTCATCTTCGTGTTTTGTCTGCGATGGATGGCAAAATTGAATAATGTGTCTGCAACAAGTTTTGTGTGAAGCTCGATGTGAAGTTCTTGAGATGCTTGGTGAAGCTTTGGAGAACATTCTTAAAGACAGACAGCAATTTTTGAACGACATTCATGTTTTAAGACCGGTCGAGTGTCACTTGAAGATTACAAAGTTCAGGGTGACTAAGCACCAGCCAGATGACAGAAAATGTTGAAAAATTTCTAGATTGTTCACCATGATTTGTTCCTCCTAACACTACCGCCAGCTCTGACTTGTAATGTGATGGTTAAAGATGCTTGAGAGAAAATGTGCTGTGAAAAAGACCGGAATTTTGGTGCGACCACAACTGACTCCATCATGACGTGCCTACCCACATGTCCCTGAAAACCACTGAGTTTGTGACTAACAACAGCATGCTTATTGTTCCCCATCCTCCCTACTTGTCAGACTTAGCCCCTGTGTTTTCACTTTGTCTCCCAAATTGAAATTGAAACTGAAGGGACCATGTCTGAAACAGTGTCTGACATCCAAAAGGAATTGCAAGTGGTACTCGACAGCTCCAGTCTAGAAAACCGAGATTAATGGCTGTGGGGATTCGTAGCGCTGACCATGCGACACCCCCTATCTGCTAAAGTTGGCTCGGTCAGTATAGTTCGCTTGCAGGCTAAAACCACAGAGTTTTTGTTGTTTGTTTCATATAACCCTTAAAGCTGATAAGCAGAATTGAATAACCTAAGTAAGTCAGTAGTTGTATAGTTTCTCGTACTTATGTTTTGAAAATTTGATAATTTAGTTCCTGTAAGTTATAAAGATTTGTATTTCAGCAAAAGGAGATGGGATTCTTCAAGGCCTCTATCTGTCTGGTCATGATAAGATTTTGTTCACTGATGGGAAAGGAATTGGTGTCCGGAGAGATTATAATGGGGTTCTGCTGTTGGATACCATCCTCCAGACACCTATCAGCAAGCCGGATGATGTTGTGAAGTTGGAGTTGCTGCTCTCTGAGGTAATATGTAATGTCTGCATAGCAAATGAAATTGCATTACATGTTCTGCCAGCAAATTCCATGACATAGATTACAGCAGAATACGTTAATTCTTCAGCATATGAAGACTTTTATGTAGAAAGCTGTGTCATAATTTCTACCTGTGAATATGGATAAGTTGTGTTGTTGTCATTTCTGTTGAAACACATTTAATGATCCTTATGGTGTCACATTAATAATTCTATTATAAAATCATGATGAAGTCGGTATGAAATGTAACAACAACAACAACAACAACAACAACAATTGTTGTTGTTGTTGTTGTGTTAAAATCAGTATGCATATGAATTGATGTAAATTCACAGCCAGGAATGTTAAACTATACATTAATTAATTAATTAATTCATTCATTCATTTCCTTTGTATCCCATGTATCCATACAGGTATCAAACCTAGGATGTGGAAATGGTCCCTTTGAAAATACGAGGGTCGTACTGAAAGTCACGAGCAACAATTTTTTGTAAAGTAACGTGCTTTATTATTGACAAACCAAATACTCTATCACAATCTACAGACCTTTCTTTATTTTTCCACATAATTGCCACTTCTTTGTACACATTTCTCCCATTGCTCTGGGAGTTTGAAAATTCCCCTTCTGTAAAATTCAATTCCAGCCATCTGAAGGCACTGATGCACTACTTTCTGAATTGTGTCCCTTGTCTCAAAACGTCCACGCAGCTGATCCTTCACAAATCCGAAAAGATGGTAGTCAGAGGGTGTCAGATCAGGTCTATAGGAGGGGTGTGGAAGAACTTCCCACCCCATCTTTGCAGTTTCTTCCAATGTGAGGCAAGCGGCATGGGGCTGAGCGTTGTCTTGCAGGATGACGATGTTTCATCCCGGACATTTATTGTGCGATGTACAACGGAGCTTGTGCAGCAACTGGACATAAGGAGCAGCATTGGTGGTTTGCCCAGGTTCCAGGAATTCAGCCAGAATAAACCCCTGTGCATCCCAGAAGACTGTGCCCATCACCTTCGCAGCTGATGGCACTGTCTTTGCCTTCTTTTTTGATGGAGAATGCAAATGGTGCAATTCCATACTCTGCCATTTCGTTTCAGGCGCGAAATGGTGAAGCCAGCTTTTGTCACCTGTCACAATACAGAGCAAAAAATCATCGCCTTCGTGTCGATATCTCTGCAGCAGTTCTGAGGTGATGGCTTTTCGCTGACCTTTGTAGTCTTCAGTCAATAACTGCGGGACCCAAGAATCACAAACTTTCCTATAGCCCAAGCTTTCAATCATCTCCTGTGCTCTCCTGCACTGTGCCCTATTCCAAGTTTTCGGGCTGTTGTGTCCACAGTCACATGCCTGTCATCTTGAATGATCTCATCCACTCTTTCCTTGTTGCGTTCAGTTGAGGCTGTTCGAGGACGATCGCTCCGAGGCTCATCTTCGATGCTGGTGTTCCCATCTTTAAAATGTTTCACCCATCTTCGAACACTGCTTGCACCCATGCACACTCTTCCGTAAGCACGCTGAAGTCTCTGGTGAATTTCTGCAGCAGGGATTTCCTCTTTCACAAGAAATTCGATGACAGCATGCTGGCAAAACGACGTACGGCTGTCGGCTATTTTGTTAGGAGTGATACTGGTCACGTGATGCAAGCTGTTGGCATCAGAAGACACTCAAGGTTAACACAACAGCTGGTTCTACCTACCACTATATTCTCTTTTGTCTGCTGTTCCCAGGTTGCATGCAAAAAAAAGTTGCTCATGACTTTCAGTACGACCTACGTATATATATCAAAATACATATACAAAATTACTTGAGTCACATAATCAAAATCACTTACATTAATCAGTTAACATAAATAATAATATAAAGTAAACAAATTAATAAGATTTTAATTAACAAACATAATTTAAAAACAACTTAATATAAAACTTGAATTAATACAATTTTATTTAAATTATCTATATTAACTGAGTTAAATACATTTCAAATTTACATACTTATGACCAATTATGTTGATAATATTCATTTATGGAATGAAAAGAATGATGATATTGTCACGTATCGGGCGTATATCGCGACAGATAACTTCACGAGGTATTTGATGTAGCAAATTTTATTTCACATTCGCACTTACAATCACCCAAATTACAGATTTACGATTACTGCTATCTGCAGTATCACAATTAGTACACTCCAAATGCCACAATACAACTGACTGGTTGCTGGCTAACTCGGAACTAACTCGGCGGTAGCTCGAGGACTCACTCGGCTGTAGCTCCAGGACTCACTCGGCGGTAGCTCCAGGACTGACTGTGAATAGCCTTCGCTGCTCCTTATGTAGCCTCGATCGGACAATTGTCGCCTGGTGCCTTGTTGCTAGCCACGCTGTCCGGAGTTGTTGACTGCTGCCTAGCAACCGCGATATCCCTCGGTGACATCACCGCTGTTGATTCACTTTGCATAGCTTCAAGGTGGCGGGGACTCTGCTAACATCGGCTCCGCTAGGCTCACTTCGGCTCCGCTTGTGACGTCACCGCGCGTTGCATAGCTACCAGGATGCAGGGTGATTACTCGCCTATTACGCAAGCGCTATGTTACAACTACGTGCAGCTGGGGAGGTAGGGGTCAACATGTCACAATATAAAAACTTCTTCAATGCAGATTTAAAACTTCTCTCATCAGTAGCCAACATTTTTATTGTTTGAGGAAGATGATTAAAAAGTTTTATGCCTGATATGTACGCACTTTTATTGTATTTTGTTAGGTTAACTGCAGGTAAATATAAATTATTGAGGGCTCTAGTTTTATATTTGTGAATCTCATTGTTAAAATTAAATAAATGTTTATTTTTACTTGTGTATAAAAGTAATGAATATATGTACTGAGAGTAGAACGTCATTATTTCCAAACTCTTAAAAATGTCCCTACAAGACTCTCTTGGTCTAGAATTTATTATAATTCTAATAAGTTTCTTTTGCAATATAACATTAATGAATTAAAGAATATAGAGAATGAATTTCCAGTTCTCAGGTAATGTACCTGAACTACTTTAGCATCCAGCTGTCTGCTGCCATACATACTGTAAAATTTGTCTTTTAATTACCCTTACAGGATAAGACACAAGCACATAAAAATCATAAAGTATGTGCAGGTGTGAGAAACTAGTATTTGGGATTGATGTTCGTATGCCTGTTAGTATTAAGAAGATTACAGTCTTCTTGGTTGTGATGCTGTGACACCTTGAAAAAGTGTTTTAATTTTGTTAGGAATACTGCAAGTACAATTATTGAGAATTTTTGGACAGTATCCATCATGCTGCTTTTATTTAAAACACAGCAGATGATCCATGGCTAAGATGCCTTTTCTTGCTAAAAACTGTGATCCTCAAAGCAGAGAATGTGCTGGCACATTGTTGTGGTGAGGGATCAGTGAGCGATCTCTCCGCACCTCTCTGCATTTGTGCCTCACAGCATCAATAAGCCTTTTCAACACCTCCACATAGAATGTCTGATTAACAGTGATCCCTTCAGGTACAAATACAAAATGGATGATACCCCTGGTGTTGAGAAAGTAGATCAACAATGCTTTGATCTTGGACTTTGAAATCCAAGGCTTCTTTGGCCTGGGGATTCACCATAAACTGTTTTTAACATCTCTAACATTTCATGTGGCGATTTCTGACATTTAACACAAAAATTCACATTCCATCATACTCTCCATTTTCACACCTGGACAAAATTGACAACAAACAGTGATCTAATGAGCTACTGTTCAATACATACTGAACACAGCTTTGCCTTGTGTCATGTAACATTCAACGTAACAGAATTTCAAGATCACCTGATACAAAATTAAAAACGAGTCTCAACTTATTTGCTCAACCTTGTGTAAAATCATCACTAGCTTTTAGATCTTAAATACTGCAAGTGTCTGTCAATAAATTGTGCAGCTGTGACAGAACATAATGTGAATATAAGCAGCATATTATCACATTCTTCCTACACCATGGGGTTATAGAAATATACAATATATATATATATGGCCGCGCCATAGCTCAAACGGTTAGTTGCTGTCTTCCCACTGTGGCAGCCCAGGTTTGATCCCGGTTCTGGTCAAGTGGGATATGGGGTGGCACTGGGGTAGGTTTTCTCCAAGTACTTCGGTTTCCCCTGCCTATCTTAATTCCATCAACTGCTCAACAATCACCCTCACCTATCATCTGGGGCTGGTACAATAGGCCAGAAGTGGCTGCAGTACAAGGGACTTAGTGCCACCCTGCTAAAATATATATATATATACAGGGTGATTCATGAGGAGTTACCACCACTTGTGGAGCTCATTTCTGAAGACATTTTGAGCAAAAATTGTCATATAAACCTGGGTCCTATACTAAATATTTATAGAGTTACGTTCACAATTTGAAATGCACTACTGTGAACTGATCACCAGACCTTTCCCCATTAGATTATTGCATTTAGGGACGGATGAAGGACATTGTTTACCAAAGGAAGACACAGACACGTGAGAAAGTACTTGCTCGCATTATGCACGCTGCTACGGAAATCAGAGATAACAGTGTGCACCTACATAGAGCAACATGCACGGTTCACAAATGTGCAGACAAGTGTATCGAAGTGGAGGGCAGCATTTTTGAAAATGTGTTGTAATCTCTGTAAGACTTGGCAGAATTGAACCACAGAGAATCAAGTCCATAGAATTAATTTTTTTGTGAAAATAAATGCGTTAAAATAATGTAATTTTGTATTTAAAATTAAAATTAAAATTTAGAAACCTCAAATTATGAATGTAACTCTGTAAATATTGAGTATAGGACCCAGGTTTATATGACACTTTTTGCTCAAAATGTCTTCAGAAATGGCGGAAATTCCTCATGAGTCATCCTGTGTGTGTGTGTGTGTGTATATATATATATATACACACACACACA